GGATTATGAGATAATCCGGATAGTTGTTGGTATCACTGGAACGAGAAAGAGGTCGGGCTAGCACAAGGATGACAGTCTCGCCTTGAGCCCGACAACATATATCGTGAGGCAAAGGGAACAGAAGTGTGACACGTTGTACAGGTTCGCCTAACCAGCTTCATAGTCTGCTTGGTGGTCAGCACTCCTTGCTAGAGGCCTCTACCAACCATGCAGGTCGGAGGTGATCCGAATTGTGACCAAGCCGACTTGAACCTAAGGGGCCGCGCGCTTAAGGGAAGGAACCTACGAGGCCGGTTCGTAGGACACTGGTCGGATGTGATTCGAACTGGACTAGGAACGTGACCGAGTAGACTTTGGACGTTAGAGTCCGTGCGAGGCCCAAGTGTTGAGCCTGCGACGGACACCTATATAAAGTGGAGGTGCGGCACACTCATGCGGTTGATCGCTTCGGCGCCATCGTTAGGGTTTGCATGTGTTGCGAATAGCCACCTCCACTCGCCGCCGACTGTGTGATCGGACCTAGCAGTCCGTCGCATGGTGTTCCTCCTGCACGCGCGGATACCGTTAGAGGCGGTGCACTTGCGCCGCTCCGGCGAACTTGTATGTGGGATCGGACGACCGGCTGTTCGAGGGAGATCGGACGAGGAGGAGACGATCCACGCGGACGCGCTGCCTCAACTCTTCTTCCGCTGCACGGCACTGCGCGTCTAGTGGTAATGAACTGTGATCCATCTCCCGTAGCATGTTCCTATTGTTCTGCGCGTAGGAAAATTTTAATTTGCAGTCGACGCACCCTACCATAGATCACAACAATTGGGATACCGACGATTGAATCTCGGGCAAGTAACGCACCGATTGACAAAGGGAATTGTATACGGGATTACTTGAATCCTAGACATCGTGGTTCATCCGATGAGATCATCGTGGAACATGTGGGAGCAAACATGGGTATCCAGATCCCGCTGTTGGTTATTGGAGAGCTGTCTCGGTCATGTCTGCATGATTCCCGAACCCGTAGGGTCTACACACTTAAGGTTCGATGACGCTAGGGTTATTAGGAAGACTTGTATGTGATTACCGAATGTTGTTCAGAGTCCCGGATGAGATCCCGGATGTCACGAGGAGTTACGGAATGGTCCGTAGGTGATGATTTATATATGGTAAGTTGTCATACGGTCACCGGAAATATTCGGGGGCATACCGGTATTGTACCGGGGTCATCGGAAGGGTTCCGGGGGTCCACCGGGAGGGGCCACCTCTCCCGGAGGGCCTCGTGGGCTGTAGAGGGAAGGGAACCAGCCTTTGGAGGGCTGGGCGCCACCCCCCCTTGGGCCCATGCGCCTAGGGTTGGGGGGGAAACCCTAAAGGGGGCGCCCCCCTTGCTTGGGGGGCAAGCCCCCTCCCCTTGGCCCCTGCCCCCCCCTCTAGATCTCATCTAGAGGGGGCCGGCCCCCTTCCCCCTTCTCCTATAAATAGAGGGGCGAGGGGAGGGCTGCAACACCACATCCAAGGCGCAGCCCCTCCCCTCCCCAACACCTCTCCTCCTCCGTAAGAGCTTGGCGAAGCCCTGCCGGAGTACTGCCACTCCATCACCACCATACTGTCGTGCTGCTGTTGGAGCCCTCTTACTCAACCTCTCCCTCCTCTTTGTTGGATCAAGGCGCGGGAGACGTCACCGGGCTGTACGTGTGTTGAACGCGAAGGTGCCGTTGTTCGGCGCTAATATCGGAATCCACCGCGATCTGAATCGCTTCGAGTACGACTCCCTCATTCGCGTTCTTGTAACGCTTCCGTCTCGCGGTCTTCAAGGGTATGAAGATGCACTCCCCTCCCTCTCATTGTCAGTTACTTCATAGATTGATCTTGGTGATGCGTAGAAATTTTTTATTTTCTGCAACGATCTCCTACATGAGTATTACAAGAGTTGATCTACCACGAGATCATAGAGGCTAAACCCTAGAAGCTAACCTATGATATTATTGTTGTCCTACGGACTAAACCCTCCGGTTTATATGGACACCGGAGGGGGCTAGGGTTACACAGAGTCGGTTACAGAGAAGGAGATCTACACATCCGAATTGCCAAGCTTGCCTTCCACGCAAAGGAGAGTCCTATCCGGACATGGGACGAAGTCTTCAATCTTGTATCTTCATAGTCCAACAGTCCGGCCAAAGTATATAGTCCGGATGTCCGAAGACCCCCTAATCCAGGACTCCCTCAGTAACCAGTCTTATTCTCTTGAGCTAAAATCCGAAGCTCGTCATATTGGGCTGATGATATTTTCCGAAATTGCCTGCGATCCGTGGTCTGCTAAACGCGGCTAATACATGTCTACTGCAAGTTCGGCCTGGAACAACTTATGGCCATTTTCCCGTTCCTGGTTCAGAAATACTACCAGTTTTTGTTGCCCTGTTCAGGGTGTCATGAATGCAAACTTTTCGTCCTTCCATTGTGTCGATGCATCTCAAGGTTTCTGTCCTTTATCCTGTGTTATGGTTGTTGGTTCAGGCAGGCTAAAGAATGCATCGGTGACCAGCTAAAGCCTAAGAGCATCTTCAGCCGCGCCTTCAGAACGGCCTTCACAGGCTATTTTTTGCGTCGGCGTCAAAAAAAGCCCAGTCGCGCCTCCAGGAGCCTATTTTTCGCCGGCTTGAGCTAAAATCAGCGCTGCCGGACCCAGGCCGAACCCGGCGCGCTGGGGGCGCCGGGGCGAGTGTTTTGGCGCGAAAAAAGGCGCGGGCCCGCCGAGTCAGCGAGATGGGCGCTTTGTCGCCCTCATCGCCTCGGTTTCCGCGGGAATCAATGCCAAGGCTGCCGCGCTGCCGCCGCCGGTCAGCCTTGCCATTGATTCCTCATGGAGCGGCGCGTCGACGCCTCTCCTCCAGTCACGCATACACACGGGCGGCGCGGCGCGACTATATAAGCCGGTAGCCTCCCTCGCTTCTGGCCAGACCAGCCCTAGCCGCCGAGCTCTCCCTCTCCCTTGCGCCGCTGAGCTCTCCCTCTCCAGAAGCGCCGCCGCCGACGCTTCTTCCCGCCCTCTCCCTCCGGCACCCGATGGCCGAGCTTTTCCCCAGCGACGCGGCGGCGGCCAACGGCTTCGGCCGCCGCTCGCTCCACGAGTGGGAGTCGTGGCTCCTCTATGGAGCCAACATCCCGGCGCCGCCGGACATGTGCGCGGGGCCGACGGGGTGGAGGCTCAACAACGGGGGGAGGGGGGTGCCCATACCCCTGTTGCCTGACATCGAGGTGCACCCCGCCTACTTCGCCATCGAGATCGACCGCGTGCGCGCCTCCCTCACCTACGAGCAGCTCGCCCTCCCCCAGTACGCCGCCGACAACCACGCGGCGTGGGCGGCATACTTCGATCGCCGCCAGGAGCGGAGGTTGGCGTCCACCAATGGGGCGCCGGTGGTGGGTGGCATGAAGAACAACGAGGGCCGCCGCGTGTGGTGGGGCGCCCCCGGCCGCACGCTCGACGACATGTTGGCGTACCTCGAGGGCGGCAACGAACCGTCGCTGACCTACCCTCCCACGGCGGCCGCCCCCCGTCGGCGCACCGGGCAATGGATGCCCAGGAGGTTCGGCTCCTCCTCGCACTCCTCCTCGGCTCTTCTTCCCACTCCTCCGGTTCTCCAGCATTGCTCGGCGTAAGTCCGAGCCCGCAGCGGAGACGCCGCTCGAACGACGCACTCGCAGCGCCGGCATCGTCATAAACAAGGGCGGCACGCGCGCCTCCTCGTCGGCTCCTCCGCGCTTCGTCAAGCCAAAGACGGAGTCGGGGCTCGTCGCCGTGAAGACGGAGCCGGGGCTTCCCGCCGTGAAGACGGAGCACAGCGTGGAGCTCGACGACGAGGCGGCCCTGAAATGGGCGCGCCATGACTACCTCAAAATGGAGATGGAGCGCCAGTGCGCCGCCCTGCAACGCTTCGAGCAGTGCCGCCGGGGCCGCGACGAAGGAGGCGTCGTCGTCCTGGAAGACAGCGACGACGACGACGCGCCACCACCGCCACCGGTCCGCCTTGGCGACGTCGGCCAGGGGTCCAGCAGGGGCGGCCACGTCAAGGAGGAGAAGGCCACCGCCGACGACGGCGGCGAGGATGGCAGCGACTACTCCGCGTTCAACGACTTCTTCGCCCCTTAGTTAGGATTTTTTTAATATAAATTTGCTATGTAAACCGCGAACATGTCTAATATATGCCAAGTTTGCCGAATTTTAGCCGAGTTTATGCAAACTTCGCCGAATGAGTTTTTATTAAAAAAACTAGACGCCGTCCGGGGGCGGCCATGGGGTCGGCGACTGGAAACCAACTCGCCCCCAGGCCTTTTTTTGCGCCGGCTCGCCCTCAGGCGGCGATTTTACGCGCCCCGGGGGGGCCAACGGCCGGAGATGCTCTAAACTCTTGTGCACATCATGCTAGTCTGATCGCTGGTGTTTCGCGCGTGGAGATAGAGCTGGCGCACGCTGATCGCTAGTGCTGATGCCCCTAACAACCGAAGGTTGGCACTTTGACATGCCGCCGCCGTCTTGTCCTGTACAGAGGAGGTGTCTGACGCGCAACATCTTCTGAATCTCTCGTGGACACCGGTTAATCTTCCTGTTGACCGGGGTTTTAGTTTTACTGCTCCGGATGCAGCAACTAGATGGTCTATGGCGAGTTGGCTGCCCACGTCCGGCGGCTGGACGGCGTTCAACGTCGCTGTCGCCGGCAGCTAGAGAACACCAAGGCCATCGTCGATCATTCAACAGTGGGACTTGTAGGACAGTGGTAGTATCACTCACCAACGATGTTGCGGCCAAAGAACGAAATTAACAGATACGGAATAGCAACTCACAGAAGCAGGAGTGAACAATCCCAAGAGCCCGATCAATGAAAACACAATCGAGCTACATAATATTCACACGTCCGATAGTTAATCTCCTCATGGTGATGGCATATATCATCGTCCTAGTGTATATAGACTACGATCGCGAGCACATGCGTACGTACGTACGGATCCTACGGCGTTCTTGCGGCAGCGGCCTCGTCGCCGGCGTCTCGATCGGTGGTCTCCTCCTCGGCGGCGAGCCTCTCCCGCAGGCGGCGCAGCTCCTCCCGGAGCCGCGCGTTCTCCCGGGCCACCTGCGCGTGCCTGGCCTCGGCGCGGTTGAGCTCCACGACGAGCCGCTGGTTGGCCGCGCGCAGCTCCGCGGCGCACGCCGACAGCTCGTCCAGCTGCCTCCGGCGCCGCATCCGCGACCGCCGCGCCGACTCGCGGTTCGACGCCAGCCGCCTCGCCTTCCTCGTCTCGCTCACTGCCGCGGCGGCGCCGGCGACGTGGCTCAGGCCGCTGCCGCACGACGGCGGGCCGTGGCCATTGTCGCCAGCCCCGGCGCTGCCGCCGACCAACCACCCGTCGACGAGGTCGACATCGACGTCGTGCGGGTGCGGCGGCAGGTAGGACGTGGGGAGGCCGACGAAACCGGCCGACTGGTACGCCAGGGCGGCAAGCTCTTGCTGCATGGCCGGCGCCGCCGCGGACCCGCAGATCGCAATGCTGCTGTGGAGATTGGTTGTTATGCCAAGTAGTGTACGCAGGAGGCCACTCTCTCTCACTCTCCGGCCGCGTCGAATGGATGAAGGGAAGGAGAAAAGGCTGCGAGCCGCTTTAAACCGCGAAAAGGGAGAGCTTAGCCCACCACTGGCCACTGGCACCGCCGATGCGGTCAGCAAACTTTGCCCCTTTTGGAGCCCCATTGCCATTGCGTCTGCGCTTTGTTATTACCTATCCTGATGGTTTTTCTGGGATCAGTCGCTGTCCGCGGTTCGGTTGCGGTAAACTCTTTGCTAGCAGCATAGAATAGATCCTCGTCGTCGTCAAGATAGGCTTAAGTTTTCTCCTTGTTTCGGAAGTGTTGTTCCCGTGCGGTGTCGATCGAGCGAAGTCGCGGCGCTTCCGAGAATTTTGCGAAGGTTGGTCGCATTGAATCGTAGATCACCAATTCACCATCGAGAGGCATCGTTTTCTTGGCGGTTGCAGAGGTTAAATCGTGGAGTCTGAACATCTTGCCCTGTTAATTTCCGTTAGTGACTTGGCTGGCTATAGGCTAATAAATTTTCTCCTAATAGAGGGTCGATCTTCAGCCAAACTTTTCTGTTGTCGCGGCAACTGGCATGGCAACGCGATGGAATTGCCTTTTAGGCCTTTGTCTTTGTGCAAGATATTGCAACAATAAGAGCACTGCATAGTGACGCCACACAGTGCTAGTATAAACAAGGCCAGATGCCAGGACCCCAGCCGCTGTTTGGCCACCACTTAGACTTGGTGCATGATGCGGCGTCAGAGGTTTATGGCACTGTTTGGTCAGTCCCTCCTCGTGTAGAGACCTAGTTAGTGCTCTTGATCTTGATGCCTTCCGGTTAGGTCCGTAGAGAGCTAGCTTTACCTACAGCCTCAAGAAAATATGGTGCCGGTTTATGTCGATATCTTGATCTTAATACACATCTTAGCTTTGAGTATATAACTACAAGTCTATAACTGATATATGATGGTCGCACTCGCAAGATACTACTTCCCTCGGATCCACAAGTGTCGTGGTTTAAACCGTGCCACTTCTTATGGTTCGGAGGGAGTATTATATGACCATAGTTTAAAAAACCAGACCGGATCAGAAAAACCCGAAACTGACGGCCTTGCCGGTTTCATAAGGTAATTAAAGCGTTTTGCAAATGGAGCGGACAAAGCTTGTTGAACTGGCCGTTTTTTTCCCAAACCGGTTCAACTGGTAATAAGCGCTAGAAACACTAGAAAAAAGAAAAATAATAATTGCGGCCTATGTATTTACCCCTGGGCGCAATTAAATAGGCCAACGTCATCAATTTGGTTCAACAACCATGCTTATCACACTTAATTGTTAAAGGTTAGAAACTTAGTATATTCAACCTATTTTTACATATTTTTATGGCTTAAACAACTAGCAAATGAACCGGTGAACCGCTGCTCTGACCAGTAAAAACCTGAACAAGCAGTATCACCGGTTTGATCGCCGGTTCGGTTTTCTAAACTATGTATATGACATGCACAGTAGCATGCCCATTTTTTTCTTGCGCATTTGCTAATTTTAGAATGGTGTTAGTCAAATTCTTAGAGCGAAGAGGTAGCACACGAGGCTGAAAATAGGTAGGTTGCGCCACTGATAAGGCGTACTTTGCTTGTTCAAGGCAGTACACCATAATATCTTTGAATACATGTCATTAGGTTTTAACTAGGCCCCCTAGCTAGGGCTGCTTAGTTCATGCTTATCACAAGCTCTTGTTTGCTTACCTACTAATGCCATTAGCTGCTATACTTTAAGAAAAAATCCAGCTTGGCCTGTCACATTCTAGGAGCTAAGACAATTGGGCATGCCTAAAGCAGAAACTCGTGGAGGAACAAAAAGGTATAGGAGGTAGTCAAGATATGTCTAAAGCAACAGGTTGCTAATCAGACCGGAATAATTGTTTGTGGCGACTCTTGTTGACCATCAGCTTTTGGAACACTTAACAAAGGTAAGCACAACATGTTCATGTCCTTAGCCACACTTGGCTTTGGTGCCATAAGCAGAAAATGGCTTATAACCTTTTGAAATGAAATGCCTCATAGCCTTTTGCTTTCTAGCAGAAAGGCGTGCGTATTTTTAGATAGGTCGGACACACAAATTAATGTGCACTTCTCATTGAGAAAAACCTGACTTCATGAGTTTCGGATTTATGTTTCTTGGTCGGTCTGGCATGAGATAAAACTGCAACATTAAAGCATTTTCCGTGAGGAAAACACAAAACTTTTTCGCTTACTCAAATAATCAGCGCGACTCTCGAATCTTCACGCAAATGTGTAGGCCATCTGTCATCTGAAAACACAGAAGGAGAAATCAAGAAACGGTCAGTGCTAATAAACTTCTCCTATCTAGTTGAGAAACCTTTCAATTATAAAAACAGAGGAGATATGGCGTGACTTCTTTTATCATCCACAATTGTTAGTGGCTTCAACTTTCAGTCCACCCATCGTTCCCTGTTACTTGTGCAAGATCAGCACACCAAATGTGGGAACGTCATCTCTTGCCAAAGCAAAGCAAAGCACATCACATTGATGGCAGGATTAAGAATGCCTTTGCGCTTCAGATTACTAATTAGGGAAATTTAAAAGCATATTGACCTATCAATGATTGCGATAGGCAATCCGGTTATAGCATAACATGATAAGCATGGTGACCGAAGGATTCGATTTTACAAGGTAAAGAAGGCCATATCTTGCACGGATTATAAGAAGTAAAAAGACATTGCACACGTTACAGTGCTTTATGTTTAACTAAAGTCCAAAGCAGCATAATGCACTTGCATGGCCATGCTTACTTCACCGAGAAAAATGACTTTGTGAAAAATTTAACCACCAAGTGTATGATAGATATGAGAAAATATCTGGTGGAATATGTGAAAACCAAACAAAACCACATATATATCAATTCTTAAAATATGGTATGTTGGATGGAAATTGGCTTGTCGACACTTGAATTTCAAATTCACAGTCAAATTCAACTCTGATATGGTTATTGACAGTGTTGGAAACCCAAACAATCTAATCATGAAGATCAATCACTGCATGTAACCGAAGGACAAGTAAGAGTTCAAGATGTGCAATTTGAATTGTGGATATAGGATGAAGTACTTGATTAACAAAGTGGGGATCAGATGACGCACAATGCATGAGGTCTCACTGTCCCTCGTCTCTATGGCAAAGAGTACATCTCTAAAACTCAATCAAACAAAACCCACACACCCTAAGGGAGGTATTTAAGCGGGGATAAAGGGGGAATTCGGCAATCCTAGGAAGTAGAGAGGGGTCGAATCCAACTTTAAGTCGGCCCACTCCCTAAATACAAACTCTAAAAATTGCATATAGTATTTTACTCCTAAAGTACATGGAACTGGCCCAAATCTGAGGTGGTGCAACACCAAACTAAGGATGATTGTGGACGAAATTATGAAGCTAGTGTCATCTTGTGTATCTCATCAATGTCTTAGCGTGTCATTATGGCGGCCTCAAAGTCCCGAAATCTCCGGTAGAAACACCATCTTTGTTCCTTGTATGATTTGATGTCATCTCGATGTTTGATCATGCTCCAATATTTATCCCTCTCGTCCAGGCTAGGTCCTTCATTCCTATCATATTAACATATTGATATGTGTAGGCTCTAGTGATTGGTCCTTGTCTCTTTGTTACCGTGGGGGCTATGGATGTAACTGTCGTATGGATATCCTCGTTGATGCTTCTACTGCCTCAAATGGAAAGAAAGCCCCGTGGAGTCCAATGGGCGTCGGATCTAACATAGACAATATGCCTAAACGACCACAAGAATCCTTGATGCAACATGGTGGCGCAACACCATCAAGGCGTCTTGTGGCACACGCGACTGCACCACCGTTGAAGCTCTGCAACCACCTCAGAAGACGACAACCAAACACCACTAATCCACTTAGAAGAATACCTCGCCGTCCTTTCAAAGCGGGGCCTGCCTCCACATCGACAAGGCTAGAGGCATCATCAATGGGGTAGATCAAAACCATGAACCGCACGGCACCATTGGGCAAGGGTGAGGCTCTCTGGTTGCCCAGGGACGGGACGAGGGTACAAGGGGAGCATGAGGGGCTATGATGGAGTGTTGGTGACGTAGCGGTGGAGGGTTAGTAATGGCCACCAGGGTTCATTAACCTGTTGTTGCGCTTTGGTTTTGGGTTTATTTGCTTTCTACATACACCTTAAAAAGAATATCCGTTTCAAAGATATAAAAAGAATATGAGTTGCATGTTAATATTATACATTTTTCTAGAGCACCACCCTCTTGACATACTATATCTTTTGATAAATTTTGAAAAATTCTAAACATGATTTTCGTGGAGTTTAATTCATCATGTGTTTTCACCGGATACTTTCACAAGAAGACGTGTCCCTATGTAGCAACTTCGATACATATCTCTACCTAGTTTTTTTAGAGTAAATAGCACTGTGTTTTTTTAGTATGAACTGCTTAGTCAAAGTGGAGCATGAACAAGGGCTGAATTTAGGTCTGTTGGAAAGTGGGATTGCATCTAAGAGCAACTCTAGTAGAGTCTCCATAATGCTTATGAAGCACGCTTATGCATATGGAGGCTACTGAGGTGATGCGCAAACTTAATCTCTATATTGTCTACTTTCATATCATGGGATTCACCCGTTAATGGAACATCCTTATTCCCCAATCTCCCTTCCATTCCTATGTGAGGTGTTTCGTTTGCGCCAAATGGTTGAGCTGGATGAAGTGCTATGCTCTCCCAATATTGGCTCCGAGACGCCAATTATGAAGGATGATAGGTTAAACATGGAGGACACTCCATAAATTATGACGATAACATGCATGAGGATTCTACTACTCCCTTCGTCTAGGTGAATAAGTCATCTTAGGTTGTGCACCGTGATCAAGGAGGAGGGGAAAACGAGAGACCTTAAT